TTTTTGGAGACAGAGTCTCACTCTGTCAGCCAAGCTAGAGTGCACTGGTATGATTTCGGCTCACTGCAACCTCTGCCTCCAGGGTTCAAGCAATTCTCCTGCCTCAGCCTCCCGAGTAGCTGGGATTACAGGTGCACACCACCATGCCTGGCTAAATATTCTATTTTTAGTAGACGGGGTTTCCATGTTGGCCAGTATGGTCTCGAACTCCTGACCCCAAGAGATCCGCCCACCTCAGCCTCCCAAAGTGCTGGGATTACGGGCGTGAGCCACTGCGCCCAGCCTACCTCGATGAATTGATGCTTTAGCAAGGGACTTCATTTGAGTAAAAGGAAGAGACAATATTTACAAAAATATTCAGTAGATGACACGAAACACATAGAGCAAGAATTGTGAAGCTGGTATTCCAAGGACTGAAGTTTAGGAAACAGTCTAGTAATGGGAAAGCCCAATATAAGACCCCGAAATAAATCAGACCTGGACCTTGCCCTTAGGAATATGCAGGCTTCCTTTCCTCACCATCCTTCAGTCCACAGACACCACGATGATTTGTTCATAAGGGTACTTCAGAGACAGTGAATTACTGCCTAGTCACTTACTGACTTTGAAAAGTATTTAATATGAAGCATCTACTAAGGAAAAAGTCATCTTCCAGCTCCAAGTAAAGTAGAGCCACTTGCAACTCAGTAAAAATGTTGAGTTTGGTTAGGTGTGGCAGCTCACACCTATAATCCCAGCACTTTGGGAGGCCAAGGCAGGAGGATCACTTGAGCCCAGGAGTTCAAGACCAGCTTTGACAACATAGAGAGACCCTGTCTTTCAAAGAAAAAAAAAAATGTTGAGTTCGAGAAGTGAGTAGTGTTTATGAGACCGAACGGTGATCTCACAAGATTAGTTCTCCATTTCGGGTGACAACCCCTCAATACAATTTGGTCAGGACATACATGTTCCATAAGAACTGAACATTCAGGGCCAGCACGGTGGCTCACGCCTGTAATGCCACCACTTTGGGAGGTCGAGGCGGGTGGATCACTTGAGTTCAAGAGTTTTGAGACCAGCCTGGCCAACATGGTGAAACCCCATCTCTACTAAAAATACAAAAAGTAGCTGGGCTTGGCGGTACGCACCTGTAGGACCCAGCTATTCTGGAGGCTGAGGCAGGAGAACTGCTTGAACCTAGGGCACTCGAGCCTGAGTGACAGAGCGAGATTCCGTCTCAAAAAAAAAAAAAAAAAAAAGAACCAAACATTCACTCAAGTATTCAACAAGCATTTCCTTGTGAGCTAGACCTTGAAAGGGGCAAGACAATCACTGTCACCCAAAGGAGCTGCCTATCTACCTGAAGAGACTTCTGCCGTAACAGGAACTGCAAAGCCACCCCAGGTGGGTGCCCAGGACACAGCACACAGTGGTGCTAAAACAACAAAGGTGACTCCCCTTACCTGGCTGCTGAACTGGCGGCCACTGGCTGGATCTTTAGCAGTAACTAACGAAACACAAAACATTTTAAGTGAGCAATGGAACTCTTAGGCTTATTGTCATAGCTGAATATTCCAGGGTCTATGGCCTAAGCCTTTGTTTCCTTTAATGACAAAAATTAAAAGAAATTATAATCTCTTCTAATTATGGATTTTTTTGTTATTAATGCTTCATATCCCTTCAATTCTCAAACCAAAGGCCCTCAAGTTACCAAATGGCACTTTCAACTGCAACAAAGTTACCATAAAGATCTCTGACCTTTGTCAGAGTGGCTTCATGTGTGGCTCACACCTGTAAGCCCAACACTTGGGAGGCTGATGTGAAAGGACTGCTTGAGCCCAGGAGTTCAAGACCAGCCTTGGCAAAATTAGGGAGACCCTGTCTCTACAAAAAATTTAAAAATTATCAGAACAAATATCTCTGAGGAAGAGGGGACAAAAATTTTTTTTAATAGCCAGGCATGGTGGTACACACCTGCAATCCCAACTAGTTGGAAGGCTGAGGTAGGAAGATCACTTGAGCCCAGGAGGTGAGGTCACGGCTGCGATGAGCCACAATGTGTCTTTGCACTCCAGCCTGGGCAACCTTGTCTCAGAAAAAAAAAAAAAAGTCCAGGCACAGTGGCTGACTCCTGTAATCCCAGCACTCTGGGTGTCCAAGGCAGGCAGATCACTTGAGACCAGGAGTTCAAGACCAGCCTGACCAACATAGTGAAACCCCACCTCTACTAAAAATACAGAAATTAGCTGGGCTTGGTGGTATGCAACTATAGTCCCAGCCACTCAGGAGGCTGGCTGAGGCTGGAGAATCGCTTGAACCTGGGAGGTGGAGGTTGCAGTGACCTGAGTTCATGCCACAGCACTTCAAGCTGGGCGACAGAGTGACACTCGGTCTCAAAAAAAAAAAAATACTCTAAATGATTACCAAAAAAGTAAAGATTGTGAAAGATGGAAAAGTAAGTTTTGGACTGGAATATCAATCAAACTTTACCTCACAGTATTTATGCATAGATAAATACTCAAAATACCAACACACACACACACACACACGCGCGCGCGCACAGTCCTTACTTGCAACCTGGTGCATTTCCTCCATACATGCTCTTATGACTGATCGGTAGTTTTTACTCACTCGAACCAATCTATAAAAAATGAAATAACACACAAGATGAGCCTGGAACATCTTGTAGTGCCAGAAAAGAAGAAAACACTCAAATAAATGTAGAAATTTGCTGAAAGAAAGAGGGGAGCTATTGTGAAGGAGCTCGTAACCTTCTGAAGCTGGAACAACTTGGGCAACAAAATAAAACGCCACAAAACAACCCATGGGCTAAAGTTAATATCCATAAACCCATACTGACATTAATTGTTGCAGATGAAATCTACTAGTCAGACCTTGTCTCAAAAAAATAGATACATAAAGTTATTTAATGGCGGAGCCCAGTGGCTCAGGTCTGTAATCCCAGCACTTTGGGAGGTGAAAG